TTATTCTTGATTAATGGAGCAACGGTAGTTGGTAATGTAGCCGGAATAAGTTACAAGAAAGAGAAGACAATTAATTATTTACAAATAAATATTAATTAGACTATATTACAAAAATTAAAATAAAATTGTGAAAATGTTAACAAATAGTGATAACAAATACGTAAAAAAATTACGGCAATGTTCAAGTTATGAATACTAAGAAATATTAGCTCTCAACCGATTCAGTAAGTGCATTAAGATTACATTTACACAGTATTTGATGTTTTCGGCATTCCTCACGTCATCGTCTAAATTACTGACATGTCGTGAGTGGAGTTCATATGTAGTGGTACTGTTGCTGGTGCTATTTCTTTGAGCTAATAAGTCAATAATATATGAGCATTCTCCAAAAAATGTTAACATATTATTGGGATATTTTTCGGCTATCTGCATGCGTTGGTTCAGACTGTCCTTAAAATAAAGAAGGTGTACGGAGCACGCTGCTCACTCACACGGGTATGTTTACATGGCAAAGATAAAAATAAATCGTCTTTTTGGTTACGATTCCAATGTCTTTAAATTATCATCATGTGATTATCGTGAAATTGGAAAATGGTAACACTGAGCAGCGGCCAAGCTTCTACGACTGAGCTTCGCTAGACGCCCTGAGAATCTAGCGTATGGAATTATAACGGCGGGAAATACTGTACGTAATAGAAAAAAAATTGAAACATAATTTTTGTTACTATGACAACATTAGCCTCTTGTTATTGCGGTATTAATTTGAAAACAGTGTCGTGAGTATTTGGTACTGATTAGGTCCGTCGTGCAGCTTGCTTCCTCTATTCTCACGAAACAAGATGATAAAAAAAGAATAACAATTACCGTAAAGAAATGAAGTCAGCACCAAGTGAATTACCGTAAAGGAAAGCGAGTCAGTACCAATTAAGCTACTTCGGTTGTCCAACAAGAAAGTGACAACTTTGTTAAGTAGTTTAAAACTGCTAAGTTTGATCGGCGTTGTCTGAAAGAAAAATAAGAAGTTTTCATGAACAGACACCACGGCTGGACATTCTTATCTGAAATCGGAACCGGTTTTGTGTGGGAAGACCATTTCCTCGCTTGTGAAATTAATCCATAGAGAAGTATAAGTATGGTTAATTCAAAACTCCGTTGCTATGGTCACGATGATTGGGGTTGGAGAGGTGGATATATTTAAGCCAGGATCTGCGATGTGGTAGTTACGTTTTATAATTAACCCTATCGTGTATCACTTTACAAGTTGTTGACTGGCGTTGGTTTGCTGCTTCGCTCGTCTCAGTGTACAGTTGTTGACTGGCATTACTTTTCTGCTCCATTTTCTTAGATGTTGATCGGTGTCGGTTTGCTTCTCCATTTGTCTCAGTATGTGATTGTTGATTGGCGTTGGTCTGCTGCTCCATTTGTCTGAGTATATTTAACGGTCATACCAGTCATGTTTTTCACGAGTCCCTCAAACCTGAGTTGATCACCATTGATATCTACCATAGAAACCCGCATTGTAGCAGACTGTGATTATTCAAACTTCGATTCGAATATTTGCTGGTTTATTCGACGAATTGATTGGCTATGTCAGGTAAGAAGTTTTGAAATTATTTGATAAATATCTGGTGTATTTATTTTAGCTAGGATAAAAGAGAGCTCTATCGCTGATTCAGAATATATAATTTTCTGTCCACTGCGAGATCCCGCGTTATGCGTGGTCTCGAACGTAAAAAACAGCACAAACAAAGGTCGTGGCGTCGTAATGACGTCAAAACATTGCGTGGGATTTAACAAACACGAAAATATTTTGGGGATATTTCCACACTTAATAATGTGCTGTACACATTTGATGGTGGACAATTTTGATGAAGCAAGGATATCTCAACCAATTTTTCCCTCTCAATGATAAGCATGCTGACATTGAGCTATAAAAAAAGAAATCCAAAATCAAATCGTACGATTTTTACGGCATCCGTTCAGTCCGCGCCTTTCACGCAATTCGCGAGATCTCACAGTAAACGGAAATATCACCTATTTTGTGGGAATCTTCTAATATTTGAACGTTGTGCACGACAAAATCACACCTTTAACTCGAATGTTTGTAACTCGAATGTTTCGTTTATTACGGCTGAAAATTTATCGTCATACAAAATCATGAATCATCGATATTTCCTTCCTATCTCGTGACTTCCATGAAATATTTCGTGGCTTCCATCGGATATCTTGCCATATGAATAATCGTTGTGTTCTTCAAAACAAAAACCAGACCCGTATCGTCATCGATTTAAATCTTCCACGAGTACCCATGAACACGCGTTGCAACACGTAAAGAAGCATACGAACATCCCAAAAATAAACCACAAATTGATGGATTCGACAGTATATAATAATTTGAAAATGAATAAATGTTCATTTCAGAAAAAAAAATTGACGCCTTCCTAAATACGATGACCACCGACATGCTGGATATTTAATGCCCACGAACATGGTCGAATGTCGAACCCGTTGTTGGAAAATATTCAGACACACTGGAATAAACTGGCAAAATTGCCCTAGAGGGCGTGATTCCAAGCGGCCCAGGTTAACTTCAGATGAGAACCCCCATTATGTCTGCTACCTTTGTATTATTACCAAAGTAAATTAAATTAAAGGTAAATTTGAAAATATTTTAACCAACCTCATTATTTCTGATAATTCGGTAACACGCCGTCATATACTTCCCAAACGCCTGTATGGTTAGAATCATAGTTAGAATCATAGTTAGAATCATAGTTAGAATCATGTTTGCTGTTATTAGACATAATTTTATATACATATTAGAATATTCACGACTTCAAATATTAAAAATGACATTTCACTATTCCTTTTCTTGGTCTTGTTATAATATTTTCCGGGAAATGTACAAATAGATAATAGTTGTACAACATGTTACTATGGTAACAATGCTTGTTGCCATGGTAATTCAGTGTTTTGCGAATAAATATGAATATTGTGTCCGGTGCATCCCATAGATTATTGCAAATTGTTTAATTTGCAACGCAACATACTTGTTTCATTTACCTCACCCTATAGTACACTGTGCACGTCACTTGGCACCGCTGATGTGATCAGGTCTTCGTGCAATCTTCGTGTTGGTCTATAGTCGGCTATGACGATGATGACAACGACTGTCTCGTAATAAACGTAATTGCCTGG